GCTCGGGCAGGGTCGCCTAGGAAACGGGCCAGGGGCGCGCCGACCGAGCCTCCCTATGGCCGCGGTTGTGAGCCAGGCAGGGGCAGAGAGCTGCGAGTGCGAGCGCGCCCCCCCAGATGTTGCGCCCGGTGCGGCCGGCCCGGAAAAAGGTGCCGGAACGCGGTTCCGCCGCGTTCCGGCTGAAAAAAAGCCCTGCTTACAACACTTGCAGCATCCCCAGGGTCACGTGATCAAAATTCGAACACTTGGCAACTGGCTCATCTTTACGACGGTTGCAGCGTCCCAGGGGTCATGTGATCCCCTTTTGCGACCTTCTGACAAGCAGAGTCAATGGGGGAAGCCAGATTCACTTAACGACCATGTTACTAACTGAACAACTGGAGTGATTCACTTAACAACTGTGGCAAGAAAGGCCGTAAAATGGGGGGGGCAAATGTCTCAGTTAGTGACAGAAATTTGGGGCTCAACTGTTGTCATAAGTCGAGGACTACCTGTACAGGTTTTTCAAGGAAAGACCGGACCACAAGTCATTCAAGAATCCTGTCCAAGGCTGGGGTTGGACTGGATGACCTCTAAGGTCCCTCCCAAGCCCATGATTCTATGAAACAGGGCCTCACTGTGCCAAAGTTTGGTTGTATAATCTCCCTGTTTTTTTCAAACTCGGAAATAAGAAACAGAGGCTTACTTTCTGCAGGGTTATTGTTATTTGTTTGACTTTAAAACCCACACCCACGCCATAAAAACAGAGCAAGATTTCAGACAATGTATGATTGCCCTGCCTTTTACAGTTCTCAGATGCCAAAAAGTAATAATAATAAATAACAGGTTTGATTCCCTTGGCCACAAAAGGTTTCAGGAAATGGAAGCAGTTTCTCTTTGCAAGTCATTCTGGTTTATTTGCCCATTAAATTAATGAACAGAGAAAGCCTATTCACAGTCCCAAGACAGCCGTTTTGAAATTGTCAGCCTACAATCCTAGCCCACACAACCTTAACCCAAGCCTAATCAAAAGAAAAAACGCCACTCTGTTCTATGTGCATTTATCTCTCAGTGTTTAAAGCAGGGATGGGGAGCTATGGCCCCTTTATGATCTGTGGACTTCAATTCCCAGAATTCCTGAGCCAGCCAATGCCAATCAAGGAATGTTCCTGCCCTCTAAGATGGAGGTAGGGAACTATGGCCCCTTTATGACTTGTGGACTTCAACTCCCAGAATTCCTGAGCCAGCCAATGCCAATCAAGGAACTTTCCTGTCCTCTAAGATGGAGGTAGGGAACAATGGCCCGTTTATGACTTGTGGACTTCAATTCCCAGAATTCCTGAGCCAGCCATGCCAATCAAGGAACTTTCCTGTCCTCTAAGATGGAGGTAGGGAACAATGGCCCGTTTATGA